TTTCCCCGCCCTACGCCAGCCCCAACGTGGGCAGCAGGCTTTCTGGGGGGGGGGTGGGTAGGCTCCCCGATTTGCCCCTGGCCTGCAGCAACCCCCACAGCCTGCAGGGTCTCGGCCAAGCTCAGGGGCTGCCAACAGCCTGCAGCAGCCCCTTGCAGCCTGCAGGTTTTCTCCGTGTGGGGAGACACAAGGGGCTGCCTCTGGCCTGCAGAACCTCCCCACCCCTATGGCCTGTGGGCTCCTTTGGACTGGGGCCAATGGTTCCTGGTCCTGGCCTCTTTTGTGTGGAAGGGCTCCTGAGTGGGGCTGTGGGGGCCAAGCTCAGGGGCTGCCAACAGCCTGCAGCAGCCCCTTGCAGCCTGCAGGTTTTCTCCGTGTGGGGAGACACAAGGGGCTGCCTCTGGCCTGCAGAACCTCCCCACCCCTATGGCCTGTGGGCTCCTTTGGACTGGGGCCAATGGTTCCTGGTCCTGGCCTCTTTTGTGTGGAAGGGCTCCTGAGTGGGGCTGTGGGGGTCACAGGCAGGGTTTTGGGGCCGGGGTCCTGGGACAGGATGGGGCTTCCCCCTGACACTGTTATAGGGAAAGGGTGGCCACTTACCTGCATAGTTGTAGCACCCTGTCCCCAGCCAGCCAGGGTCCTGCTGGTGCAGCTGCCCCTAGTGGTCCCTCTGCAGTATAGCTCTCCCTGGTGGTCTTGCTATCGCCAGTGGCCACTCAGAGCATGTCTGCACTGGGGAGTTTTTTCGAAAGAACTCATCGTATTTAGAAATAGCAAGGTGAGCGTCCACACTACCAAGCCTGTTATTTTGAAATAACAACTCCTGCTTGCAAAGAGGAATAAGCTTATTTCAAAATGGTTATTTCGGGAGTTATTTCAAAATAATGAAATAACCTGGTAGTATAGACAGCCTCCGAGTATCACATGTCCCCTCTCTCTCTGCCCCTCCCTTTTCCAGTTCTGGAATACAGTCCCTTTCCTGCCTTTTCTTGGCACAACCAAAACTTGACCTTGCTTTAAGTTAGGGTAAGAGGAAGCTGACTACCAAATTTGGTGGCCCTAGCTCTTACCTTTTAGGAGGAGTTCTTGAACAAATGGACTTGCAGACAGACCCACACTAAAATATATATAGGGAAAGGATCCTGATAGCCTCACTCCCCAATCTCCTCTTGCTCTGAGGTCACCTGAATTTCAGAATTTACTCCATTATTATTTATATTGGGAAGGAATTTAAGTTGATTATGGCTTGGAGTAGTCTTCTAAGAGCAGCTATGGCGACCAATGCTCCAAACTGACTGGAAAAATACATGGAAATGTATTTTCAGGTTGAGTGGATGTTGCGCCACTGACTTCAAGGGAATTGCTCCTTCTCACACTTTTCACTCTGAATCCTGACAACCTTGTGCGTCAGCCAGCCACTTAATCTACCTTTGCATAGCAGACCTTCAGCGAGGCATTAGCTGGTAAGATTGCAAAGTAATTAATGTAGACCTTTAACTCAGACAAAGCGTCAGTAGGAAAACATCACACAGTAAAATGTCATCACATGCTTCTTTTTGGGAACAGGAAAGGACTGATCTTATACTCTACTGGAAAAAAAAATGTTATGATGACGCAGTGGCTCCGGCTGTGTCTTGAAATGACGTTTCTTGCTTTTGGAGCCCAGCGACTAACAATAAAATAGAGCAAGTGAGTCACTGCTGTAGAGGATCTTCACCATTTAAACTTTTCAATAACTTGCCGGTCTTCTGTAACTTGCCAAACTCACTAACCGGGGCCGGATTCTTAGAGGTGGAAATGGGGGCCCAAAACTGAGCTGGTGGTGAGTCCCCAATACTGGCCAACACTCTAAGCCAGTCTCAATATAATTTAGTTCAAACCTCCGGGCTTTTTGAGGGCTCAATCCAACGCTTGTTGAAGTCTTGCCGTTCATACCAAGAGATGGTAGGTGAGGCAGGTGCACAAAATACTGCATTGACTGATATGCGCTATTCTGGGAAGCACTTCACTTTGGAGAGGGTATTTCTTAGACTGCTCTTCCAGGGCTGCTGGCTGCAGCACCAAGGAACAGGCAGACATTGTGGAAGGGACCAATGGTCTCTCAGGTATGTTTTTCATTTAACTAGTCCTGTAAAGAAACCTGCTGCTCTACAGATCTGGTTTGCCAGCATGCCCGCTGGTTTCCGTACCCAAAGGCTATGTCTACACTACAAGGTTTTTGCACAAAAACAATTGTTTTTGCACAAAAATTGGTGGAGTGTCCACACCTCAAGTGCATTTTTGCGCCAAAAAACAAACAGGAGGAGTCCTGTGGCACCTTATAGACTAACAAATTTATTGGAGCATAAGCTTTCGTGGGCATGTCCCACTTCGTCAGATGCATGTCAGACATGCATCTGACGAAGTGGGTCTTTGCCCATGGAAGCTTATGCTCCAAAAAATCTGTTAGTCTATAAGGTGCCACAGGACTCCTCGTTGCTTTTGCAGCTTCAGACTAACACGGCTACCCCCTGATTAAAAAAAAAAACAAAAACAGTAAATTGACAGGACAGAGAGCTTTTGCTGGTAGAGTTATTCCTTTCCTCACGAGGAATAACTCCTTTTTGCGCTACAGTTCTGGCGCAAAAAGGCATGTGTGGATGCTCCGCAGAGGTTTCTTGTGCAAAAAGAGCCTATCTGAAAAAGCATAGATGCTCTGATGGCCATTCTTGGGCAAAATCACATCACTTTTGTGATGCACTTTTGAGGTGTGGCTGTGTTTTTGCGCAAGAAGAGTTTGCAGAAGCTCTCTTCTGTAAAAAGCTTCTTGCGCAAAAACGCTGCAAGAAAAACCCTTCGCTGGAAAAAACCCTCTGTTCTTTCGATTTTTTTGTGAAAAAAAAGCGCTTGAGGTGTGGATGCTCTTTGAGTTTTTTCCGGAAAATTGGCTGTTTGTCCATAAAAACTCTGTAGTATAGACATAGCTGTAGAAAATTGACCTTGTGAGTGTCTTCTCCTGGCCTGTTAAGCTGGCCTTGCTGCTGTTTTGCATCACCGGAACAGGGTACAGGTGCTGGCCCCATAATTAATTTTACCCTCAAGGGTGGGTGCATCATCACATCTCCTCCCAGGGCCCTTATTCGGCACTTGGTCCTAGATCACATGGTTACAGCATAGCCTCACCCAAGCCAAGTCTCACCCTCTGCCTTACCTAGGGTACTTCACTGCACAGAGATGCAGAAACAATTACTGTCGCATGCGAGCAAAGGTGGTGAGCTAAAAATACAGGCATCTCCAGGGACCTGGCAAGATAACACGAGTCAGGCATCAGCCTGGAAGCCAGAGAGCTTTTAAATTTTACCTGGCAGTTGCCACTTCTGCCACCTCACAGCTAATGTCAGAAGTTTTTTGTCAAGCCCGTTGTCACACATCACTAGTGGCAAAGCCTCCGAAAACGCACAGTAGGGGAACACGGGCATGTGGTTGGATTCCATTACGGACACTGCATATGGAATTGAATCGCGGGGGAGGGGGGGGGGCCTAAACCAATAGGCCCCTATTGAATTTTAATAGGGCTCCATAGTAATTACTCTAAACACACGTTGCTTTTGAAGTCGAGTGGTACCCTTTCTATCCACCTAACTGCTGTTTTGACTTGTTGATACCCTTAGCGGGCAGGGCTGGCTCAAGCCAATCAGATTCCCCATCGAGCTTTCCACTTGAGTCCTCACATTCCACATCCTGACAGTCAATATGCAGTCCAATTTGTTCTAGGAGCGTTGGGGGCGGGGGAGTTGGACATCCCGGGCAATAAGGAATATCTCCAGAACTGGAAGAGGTGTTTGGGGACTAGGAAATTGAGCTTCCAGCTCAAAGGGAGTAAGGATGTTG